CTTCTCTGGGAACGGGTCGGGTACACCTTGCCACCTGCACACGTTTTTCTTATTTACTTACAGCCCCGTGTGATAACTTCCTGTTTATTGGACATTGTTGTTCACTGTCCTGTCTGCAAGTGCCTTGAGTATTGACGCTGTGTTCTGTTTGTTTTCTTATTTTCTGTTTTTTGGTTTTGGTTTTGTGAGACAGGGTGTCTCTATGTAGTTCAGGTTGGCCTTGAACTTGTGGTCCTCCTGCCTGGACCTTTCAAGTGCTGGGATTGCAGGCATGTACTACCACACCTGGCTATTTTCTAAGTCTTGTTATGTTTGTTTTTAATTAATTAGTTAATTAATTGCTATACTGAGATTGAACCCAGGGCCCTTGCATTGAGTTACATCCCCAGCACCCACTTCCCTTTATTTTGAGTGAGGAGTTGCTAAGCTCCTATGGTCCCCAGCCTGGGGTTGAACTTATGATCCTCCTGCCTCAGCCTCTCATAAGAGTGTTGGGATTGCAGGCCTGTACCACCATGCTCAGCCATGGCATGTTTGTTTTTATATCCCCAGTATCAAGCAAGTGCCTGGCACATAGTCACTGCCTAAACATTTGTAGGGTGGAGAATGCTGATCCCTGTCTGTCTGTCTGTCTCTCTTTGTCTCTCTGTCTCTCTCTCTCTACATCTCTGTCTCTCTGTCTCCCTCTCTCTGTTTCTGTCTCTGCCTGTCTCTGCCTGTCTGTCTGTCTCTCTTTTTCTCTGGCTGGAATGTAGCTGCTCACATGCTGAGTACACACCCCAACCCGCCCCCGAGCTATGTGCTCAGCCCTGGTCCTAGATTTCTTTTTCTGTTAAATGGGATTTAGTTTCCTCATCTGTTAATTGGGACTAGGTTTGCTGATCTCTAAGGAGATGTCCTGTAATAGGAGCGATTGATTGATTGACTGACTGATTTTTAGTAGTGGGGATCGAACTGAGGACCTTGCACTTTCGAGGCAGGCATGGGGCCACTGAGCTACATCTTATTACAGCCCAGTAATAGGATTTATCATTCTAGATTTTCCTACTAGTAAGAGGAACCTTATCTGGCCACCTATTATTTTTAGTTACTAGAAAAAATGCATAACATCTATATTATGCTAACAATATATCACTAAGAATCACCTATATTATTTCAATAAATTTCATGCAAAAATAGGATTATCTCTTATGATATTTTATAACAGGCTTCTTTCACCTTACCATGTACTATGACATCTTTCTCTTATGATGGCTACAGAGCTCCTCACAGAATGATGCTGAGAAGTCACTTACCATGGAGACTGGGACGCTCATGTTTTTTCACTGCTGCACAAGGCTGCAATAACATTTTTCTGCCCTCAGTGCTTTACTTCCCTCTGGGAGCATCTCTGTAGGGAAGGCTGTGTGTTATCAGGGATGTGAGCATTTCAAAATCAGCAGTGTTGCTGCTGCCCATGAAAGAGGGAAGGACAGCATGTTTGTATTCAAGATGATACTTTGTGAATTCCTGGGAGATGCACAAAAGATCCTCCTGCCTCTGAATTGGGAAGGTGTCGACAGACCAAAGGATGACTCAGATAAGTCCAGTTTGGTCAACAAATGAGTTATTCAGAGTTGCTGCATGTCTAATGAGTTTGTTCAGAGTGCTAGGGGCCAGGGATTTAGCTCAGTGGTTTCACTGCCTGCTGCGCAAGCTCAAGGACCTGAGTTCGATCCCGGTACCAAAAAAAATAACAACAAAAAAACAAAAAACCAGAGCGCTGGATGGTTCAAGGGAACTTGCACTCCCGAAGTCGCTGCCCGACTTCCCAAGCTCTTGTTTATGCAGTGCTCCAAGGTACACAGCAAAAAGCAAAGCACGAGCCAGAATCAGCGGGAGAATGATGTGTTTGTGCCCACTCCGATCCCACCCCCGGAACCCTGCTGGTTGCGGTAGCAGAGATGGACGGCTCTGCCGAATCTGGGACACAGCCTGGGCACCTGGTGAAGACCCCACAGGGGGCACACGGAGGCCCCCAGAGTGGTGCCACTCCGGCTGGGGCTTGGGGGACCAGTCCCCCTGCAGATGAGGACACCACGGAGCCAAGAAGAGTTCCACGCGCAGAGGCCAGGTGTGTGGGTTTCTCTGGACCGAGGAGCTGACATGCAGATGCACTGTATTTTGCTTCCTTTAAGCTCCTTGTGACCCCTTGGTACACAGCAATGTCACTGCTTCTCCACCCTGCTCCTCCATCCTGCCTTCAGGCACAGAAGCTTCGGGATTCTTTGAGACAGTGACTCTGCACAGCCCTTAGGATGTTCACATCTGATTTGGGTAGGGCTTTTTTGGAGGTGGCTGGATATGGAGTGTGTGATACTGGGATGGATTCATGGTGCAAAGAAGTGGAGAGAGACACTGTCCCTTAGGGCTTTTTTGGAGAGAGAGAGAGAGAGAGAGAGAGAGAGAGAGAGAGAGAGAGACTCACTATGTAGTCCAGTCTGCCCTTGTACTCCAGCGATCCTCCTGCTTCAGCCTCCCAAATGCTGGGATTACCATGCCCTGCTTATTTGAATGGTTTAACTCCTGGAATTAGGTGTGTCTTGCTGTCTTTCTGCCACACAGTCCACAGCTCCACAGGCCCCTGGGTTTACTCCAGGCTGATTTTACTGGGTTGTAATAGGTGTGCCTGGCAGTCTGCTGAATGTCAGGAAGTTATTATCATCACCAGCAGAAAGAAAATAGATTTCTTCCTGGCTGAGCATACCCATCCCTGGAGGCTGGGGTGTGGGAACTCTCACCTGTTGACTTCTCCCATCAAGTCCCCACTGGGCCCTCCAGGTCCATGTCAGGAGGGTGGCATCTCCCAGAAGCCCCTTCTCTCTTGGATTAACATTGGCTGGGTGTGGTAGTGCACACCTGTGATCCCAGCACTCAGGAGGCTGAGGCAGGAGGGTCACCAGGAGTTCGAGGCCAGCCTGGACTACATAGTGAGTTCAAGGCCAGCCTAAACTATGTAGTGAGAACTTGTCTCAAAATAAATAAATAAATAAATAAATAAATAAATAAATAAGGGACTCAGAGGGCTAGGGATTTAGCTCAGTGGTTCCAGCGCCTGCCTCACAAGCTCAAGGTCCCAAGTTCCATCCCCAGTACCCACCCCCCTGAAAAAAAAGAGAGACCTGGAAGTGTGAGGGCTGGGGCTCCGCTCAGGAGCAGATCGCTTGCCCAGCTTGTTCAGGGTCCGGGGTTCCATCTTGAACGCCCCAAGCAAAGGGCTCCTCACCAGAGAGGCCTGGTGGCAGAGATCAAGGAGTAAAACAGCAGTTTTCAAGCAGGGCCAGTTCTGTCCCCTAGAGGGCTTCTTAGGAATCTGGGAGTTGGTTGTAGTTGTCAGAATAAGCGGTTTGCAGAGAAGGACAGGAGCAGTTCTCCAGTTATTCCCTTGCTGCCGTTCATCCTCCACAATGTGTGGCTGTCCTGCTAGACTCTGCTGAAAGTTAAATGTCTGTTAACAAGGGCCTGAGCCTAGTCGTAAGGCCATCCCATGTCGTGGGAGGGGAATTACTTTGCTGCGGCAGTGATAAAGCCTGCCATGTACCAAGAACACACGATATTTCCTAATTTTCTCCACCTTGCTTTGCCTTAGTTTGTTATCTTAGTGTAAATTAAGGTTATTTCCCCTTCCCCTGATCATCTAGCTCACTATTACCCCAACTCTTGAGTAGCCTGCTCTCCTCACTTTGACTTCCTGGGTGTTAAGTTACAAACCTGGAAAACAAAAGCTACCTGTACTTCTGTCTTAGGCCAGGGAGGGACAGGAGCAGAAGTGAAGCTTCTTTTAAACCCAGGAGGGGTGACTTGGGGGGCTGCTGGAAGGCGGGGAGCGTGGACTGTGGGACCTGGAGGTGGAGCAGCGACGGGCAGGGGCCTGGCAAAGGGGGTGGGAGCGAGAGGAGCTCTGGCCTGGATCTCACGGAACCAGTTGCTTCAGTTTAGACAGGAATGTTTTGTCTGACTACCTGCCCGCCTCGGACGACAGGGCCGATAGAGTCTGGGCGCCACTTCTCAGGGCCACGGTGACTCACAAGGCAGACCCTTCAGCCAAGTACGGAACGTTCCATCCCACATGTGTCTTCTTTGAGCTTAAAACTTACACTAATTCCTATGAAATTCACGCTCAGGGCTGCCTGTTTCCCTGTGCATCTGTAGTCCCAGCTCCTGCAGAGGGTGAGGCAGGAGGATCACTTGAGCCCTGGAGTTCAAGGCCAGCCTGGGCAAAAGAGACACTGTCTTCCCACCAGAAAAATTTTAAAAATATTTAATTCACCCTCAAATACATACTAATTCATATTAAATAGGTGCAAATATCTGTTCACTTCGTTACGTCTTTTCCCTAAGTATGTTAGTTTATTATACGCTAAGCTTCTTTCTGCCCCAGCAAGGGCCTGTGCTGCAGAAGCTACTCGACTGGGGGCCGCTGTTGGGGCCTTTCTGGCGTTTTCTCCTTGGATCCTCTCACCAGCTCTGGAGTCAGACAGGACGACTGTCCCTGCCCTTACGGAGGAGAACTGAAGTGGCATGTCCAGGTCACACCGGAGAGAGTGGCCAGGGGCTTGGATGGGCCCGGGGCTCCCGATCTGCAGTCTCAGCCACCCGCAGCCTCTTCTCAGGTGAGGGAAGGTTTCCCGGGCTGCGTCACAGGAAGTTGAGGGGCTTTCCGTAAAGCTGGGGGCTCTGGATGAGGGTGGTTCGGGTGTCGGTGTCCCCTCCTCCCTCCTCGCACTCCATTTCTACCATCCTGTCCTGAGTGCGAGCCACAGTGGGCCGCAGGGTAGGGGCAGCCCTGTGGCCAGGCCAGGAGGGCCATGTGGCAGAGGACGGAGACAGAGAAGAAGGAGTGGCCAGGTAAGGCCTTCTGGTTCCTGCTGGCCAAAAGCCCACGGACTGCTCTGCCCAGGTCCTGCCCTTCCCTCCTCCCCCAGGGCGGGCGTCTCCTCTGGAAAAACACTCAGCCTGGAGTCTGGGCTGGTGCTGGGGGAAGGCCAGATTGCATCAGACAGTGCCTGAGGCCCGAGGACGCAGCCTTATAGGTGGGGCAAGCAGACTGGAAAAGGAGGCCAGACACAAACAAAGGTTCACCAGGAGAAGATGAAGGAGGCCATGAGCCGGCCAGACCCCATGGCCACCCGCTGCCCCTCCCAGGAGCCCCCAGACCCAGAGGAGGAGGAAGCCAGCCTGGACGAGTACGACCAGTACAGCCTGGCCCACGCCTACCCGGGTGAGCAGCTCTCCTCCCTGATCCACTTCCGAGCCTCCTCACCGACCAGGACCCCCGTGGGCGTCTTCCCATGCTGCACCTTCTCCCACCAGCCTGTCCTGTTCCCTCTGTGCCTCAGTCACCTGCCCTGGTTCCTGCTCCACAGAGTGCTTCTTACACACCTGGGAGGCCCTGACTCCACTGATGGGAAGCAGCTGTCAAGCACTGACTGTCCCTGCTCCTGCCACACCTGCAGCCCTAACCACCTGGTTCTCTGCCCCTCTCCTCTGACTCCTACCCTGGTCCCCAGCAGGCGGAGGCCGGAAAGGTCGAAGCAAGAGAGAGGCTGCTGCCAACACCAACCGCCCCTGCCCTGGTGGGCACGAGAGGAAGCTGGTGACCAAGTTCCAGAACTCAGAGAGGAAGAAGACCCGGCGCTGAGGCAGAGCTGGAGGTGAGGCTCCAGGGCCAGAGAGCCAGGGGAGGCGCCCGTGCCTTCCCAGGACAAGCCTGGGGGCATCCAGGTGGGTGTCGAAGAGGGATCAAAGAATCGTCTTAACTTGGAATAAAATGAAAGGAGGGCTTCCCAGTGACCAGAGCAAAGAGGAAACACTGAACCTTCCTAAGGGTGTGTCCGTGTTTGGGTTATAGAGAAATTGGGGCCACAGAGGGTTAGATTCTTCTCTGGAGTTGTAGAACCAATGAGTAGGAGAGGCAGAATTGGAACCCAGGGCTCTGCCCATTTCACCACCTGCTTTCCCTACCCCCAGATGAGACCAGACCATGGACACCCCACCCAGCAATGGAGACAGGACTGAAGAGGAATTAGGACCCGGGAGCAGGATCCAGACCTGCTTGCTCCCCACCCCCACTCCAGGACTTACACACACACACACACACACACACACACGCACGCACGCACGCACGCACGCACACGCCTGTGAGGCTCCAGGGAGGCCAAGAAAGCACCTCCAGGCCCAGCAAAAGGGCAGCGAGGAGCAAGAGGCAGAGCATGGATAGCTAGAAAGCCAGGAAGCTTCGTCCCAAAAAGAAACCTGAAGAAACTGGAGCCCCACACCCCTCCTTCCAGGGTGACAGTGACAATAAACAAAGTGCAGAAGCCGCAGTCTCAGTGTGTGTTTTATCCTGGCTCTTGTGTGGTTTTGTGTAGGCACATTTCTGCTTGCGTCTGTCTGCATTTGCTCAAACCAACCAGGGTGTACATGGCATGTGTCTGTATTTGGTGCATGTGTCATTTTTAAGGGCATAATCCAAAAATAGAACACACCACATCTGCTCAGAATGGAGTCACACGGCCACACCCACCTACAAGACAGGCTGGGAAATGTGGTATTTAGCAGCTTGGCCATGTGGTAGCCCAAACTTGGATGGAGGCAGGGTTGTTGTTTTTTTTTTTGGACTGGGGATCAAACTCAAGACCTTGAGCTTGCAAGGCAGGCATGGAGCCATTGAGCTAAATCCCCATCGAGGCAGGGTTTTATTATCAAAGAAAGCAGGACCAGGGATGTAGCTCAGAGGCACAGCACCTGCCTGGCAAGCATCAGGTCCTGAGTTCGATCCCCAGTACAAAAAAAAAATCTAGGGCCTGGGATTTAGCTCAATGGTTCCGCCATCTGCCTCGAAAGCACAAGGTCCTGAGTTCAATCCCCAGTACCCCTCCAAAAAAATCTACTATCAAAGAAAGCTGGAGAAAAAGAATACTGGAAGAAACTAGCAAGAAAGGCCAGGTGGATTGGTGCATGGCTGTAATCCAGCACTCTGGGAGGCTGAAGCAGGAAGACTGCAAGTTCAAACCCAGTCTGGGCAACTTAGCCAGTCTCTGTCTCAAAATGAAAAAATTAAAAAGGGCTGTGGATATAGCTCAGTGTGAAGACCATGGATACAATCTTCAGTATTACAGATAGATTAGACGGATAGATGATAGATTAAAAAAATAGAAAGAAGAAAGAAACCTTGCTAACATACAAACCCATCAGATGTAGAACAGAAACCCCTAGTTCTGGCCAGGACAGAGCTTTCTCTTCTCCTATCCCTTCCATGGAAGCCCTCAGCTACAGAACTCAGAGCCCACTGTTCTCAGAGGCCCAAACATGGACAGAGCTGGTAGTGTCTGCTGGAGCTGACCAGCTGGAGCCCTTGGGGACCCCTTCCTGTGCTCCTCTGAGCCCAGGCTGTGACAGTCAGAGTCCACAGCTGAGAGCTGCGTGTGATGACGCACACCTGTGATCCCAGTACTCAGGAGGCTGCAGCAGGAGTATCATCTCGAGTTCAAGGCTAGTCTGGGCTACACAGTGAGTTCAAGGCCACCCGAAACTACATAGTGAGACC